ACTAGACTATAGACTAGACTATAGACTAGACTATAGACTAGACTATAGACTAGACTATAGACTAGACTATAGACTAGACTATAGACTAGACTATAGACTAGACTATAGACTAGACTATAGACTAGACTATAGACTAGACTATAGACTAGACTATAGACTAGACTATAGACTAGACTATAGACTAGACTATAGACTAGACTATAGACTAGACTATAGACTAGACTATAGAAACTAGACTATATAGACTAGACTATAGACTAGACTATAGACTAGACTATAGACTAGACTATAGACTAGACTATAGACCAGACTATAGACTAGACTATAGACTAGACTATAGACTAGACTATAGACTAGACTATAGACTAGACTATAGACTAGACTATAGACTAGACTATAGACTAGACTATAGACTAGACTATAGACTAGACTATAGACTAGACTATAGACTAGACTATAGACTAGACTATAGACTAGACTAGGACTAGACTATAGACTAGACTATAGACTAGACTATAGACTAGACTATAGACTAGACTATAGACTAGACTATAGACTAGACTATAGACTAGACTATAGACTAGACTATAGACTAGACTATAGACTAGACTATAGACTAGACTATAGACTAGACTATAGACTAGACTATAGACTAGACTATAGACTAGACTATAGACTAGACTATAGACTAGACTATAGACTAGACTATAGACTAGACTATAGACTAGACTATAGACTAGACTATAGACTAGACTATAGACTAGACTATAGACTAGACTATAGACTAGACTATAGACTAGACTATAGACTAGACTATAGACTAGACTATAGACTAGACTATAGACTAGACTATAGACTAGACTATAGACTAGACTATAGACTAGACTATAGACTAGACTATAGACTAGACTATAGACTAGACTATAGACTAGACTATAGACTAGACTATAGACTAGACTATAGACTAGACTATAGACTAGACTATAGACTAGACTATAGACTAGACTATAGACTAGACTATAAACTATACTATAGACTAGACTATAGACTAGACTATAGACTAGACTATAGAATAGACTATAGACTAGACTATAGACTCGACTATAGACTCGACTATAGACTAGACTATAGACTAGACTATAGACTAGACTATAGACTAGACTATAGACTAGACTATAGACTAAACTACAGACTAGACTATAGACTATACTATAGACTAGACTATAGACTAGACTATAGACTAGACTATAGACTAGACTATAGACTAGACTATAGACTAGACTATAGACTAGACTATAGACTAGACTATAGACTAGACTATAGACTAGACTATAGACTAGACTATAGACTAGACTATAGACTAGACTATAGACTAGACTATAGACTAGACTATAGACTAGACTATAAACTAGACTATAAACTTAACTACAGACTAGACTTTAAACTAAACTATAGACTAGACTACACAGACTAAAGCTTAGTTACAACAACTGATCTTTTATGAAAGGAGTTAAGGAATCACTCTCTCTTTCTCTCTCACTCTTTACATACAAAATACATTTCCTTTTAAACTGTTTATATCAAATTATCTAAAATTTGCAAATATAATAACAAATATTAGCTGATCATAAACATATGTGATGTTAAACGATCACCATATATTTGATAACACCAGGGGGGTGTCATGTAATGAAAATAAAAAATGACATGCTAATGGTTTTTAGTTGGTCATAGTTAATGTCAATACTTAATTAATAAAATTAATAAAAAAAATCTTGTTTTTCAATGTTCGCATAAAGCTTAAAAGATAATTAATTAAAATTGAATAATTTTATATTTTAGCAGCAGCTAAAATTAATTTTTTAATTAAAGGTTTCTGTTATTTAAAACTATAAACGATTATAGCTTTAGGCAAATAATATAATTAATAAAGTGTGAACAATATTGCAACAATTAAGCAACACCATTTCCAATGAGGTGACTAATTTTATTTATCATTTATCTTTTGCAGACCAAAAAATGCTATGAACCTAGTGTATGCTGTGGTATTCCCTCTACCATGTTAACAGAAGATGGTTATGTGTTGAAGACTCCTCCCAGTCCATTCACTTATCCTCAACCTTCTCCCAACAGTCCTACAACACCAGTTAATAATGAATATTTGCCACCTAAGCCTTTGACACCATCACGCACACCACAGCCTCAACCTCAGCAGCCAAGACCACAACCTCAACAACCTCAGCCACAGCCTCAACAACCTCAACCCAGACCACAACCTCAGCCAAGACCACAACCACAACCAAGACCTCAACCCCAACAACCTCAACAGCCACAACCAAGACCACAAGCTCCAGCCTACACCAATGAAGTAAAGCCTCAACCTGCCCCAGTGCCTACTCCTCAGGCTCCTTCCACCGGTAATCAATATTTGCCACCTGCTCCTCAACCTGCCAGACCTACCTACAATCCACCAGCACCCCAACCTACACAAGCACAACCCGCTAGACCTCAATATACTCCACCAGCTCCTCAACCCACACAACAACAACCTGCCAGACCTCAATACTCACCACCAGCTCCTCAACCTACCCAACAACAACCTGCCAGACCTCAATACTCTCCACCAGCTCCTCAACCTACTCAGCAACAACCTAAACCACAATATTTGCCTCCTGCTCCACAACCTTCTCCTCAAGCGCCCATCAGACAACCACAACCTGCTCCTACTAGACCCACCTTCACCCAACCACCACGCAGAATTCCCTCTACTACACCACCCAAATACTTGCCACCCGTTGGTCCCAATCAACCCAAATACAACGGTGACCGTGATGTACAATCTACCAATCAAGACAAGAATGTTTATCAACAAAAACCCGCCCGTGGTGAAGATCAATTATCTCCTCAAATTTTCCCACCATCCAAGTATACTCCCAACCAACCTCAATTCCAAGAACAAGCTGCTCCAGCTCCTGCTAAATGTGCTTCTGCTTTGGTTTGTACTGCCGAAAATTACTGCAGTTCAATTGGTGTGATCAGTGAAACTCCTGTAGAAATAACACCCTTCCGTGTACCCTTGACCGATTGTATTATCGAAGGCACTGGAGCTGCTGGTAAATGTTGTCGTGATCCCAACTATGTTGATCCTTGGCCAGTAAATTTGGCTGGTGTGTGTGCCACCAGAAATAAGGTAAGTTTCTAAAGCCTTTACAAACTTTTAAAGATTTTTCTCTTTAATATTTATTTTGCTTTTAGAATACCAAACCCCAAGGTGTTAAGGATATTGATGCCAACTTTGCTGAAATCCCCTGGCAAGCTATGGTACTTAAGGAATCTACTAAGTCATTGTTGTGCGGTGGTGCCATAATTGGTGATGGTGTTGTTTTAACCACAGCTTCTTGTGTACAAAAGTAAGTGTTTTTTAGTTAAAATAACAAACTTTTTTTCTAATGTTTTGATATTTGTTGTAGTGTTGCTGTTAATGATATACGCGTTAAGGCTGGAGAATGGGAATTGGGCAGCACTAATGAACCTTTGAACTTCCAATTGGTGGGTGTTAAGAATGTTGCCGTACATCCCAAGTTTGATGCCAACACTGGTTCCAATGATATGGCTGTTTTGCATTTAACCGAACGTTTACAATTCGCCTCCCATATACAACCCATTTGCATTAGTGATAAGGATCCTAGTCCCTCGGAAACTTGCATTACCACTGGCTGGGGCAAACAAGCTTTAGCTAGTAAGTTTTTTTTTAACCAATAAAATGTATTTTATTATTAATCCTTAAAAAATATTACAGTTCATGAAGAAGGCGCCATTTTGCATGTTACCACCACCAATCCAGTGTCACGCAGTGATTGTGGTGCTGATGCCAGTGGTGTTTGCAGCACCACCAACTTTGATGCTTGTCAATTTGATTCCGGCAGTGCCTTAGCCTGTGGTACTGGTTCCAGTGTTCTGCTTAAGGGTATCTACAGTGTTGAAAATGCTTGCGGTGAGGGTCAAGCAGTACGTTTCATTAAACCCGATGTAGCCTGGGTTAATATGCAATTTTTGGAAAGAAGTAAACCTCTTCTATTGAGAGTGTAAACTATTGTAATATTATTTTTAATTAACACGCATACAAAAGCCACAAAAAACTAAATCAGTCTGACAAAAAAAGTGTTAAGTGCTACAAAAACAACAAAAATACCAGAATATAGAATTTAGTTTTTTTCCTGATTTCTTTTCACACAAAAAACTCACAGCTAAATTATTAAATATTTCATACAAAAAACACCTACACCCTCTTACATACAAATACTGTCCTCATTCTCTTTAAATATCATATGAAAACGTTCACCATAACAAAACATATACACATACACAAACCTGCCTTTAGTTCTATAATTTTTCTTCCTGCCTTTTTAATTAATATTTACAATTCCTTACAATTTTACTTCAATCTCCAACTATTTAGTTACAAAATGTTTTCTTTAATTGTTATTTTAAGTTAAGATCGTTTTCTTTTCAATTTGAAAAAAGAAGAAACTTTTTCAAACAAAGATCTTTAATGCAAATTTAGCTTAAAATATATATAAAAAAATAATTAAATTTTTATTGCAATTATTAAAAAAAAAAAAAGAATTGAGATTATTGTTTGTTCTTAGTTTAAGTTCTTCTTATTTCTTTCTTATTTTGTTTTTTTAATTTAAACTTTAATTTCATTACATCATCATTAAAACATAAAAAAATACTATAAATTGTATAAAAAAAAATTAAAAAAAAACATTGTATAATTATTTATGTCTTATTGAAAATGTTGTATAAAAGTAAACTTTCTAAATTAAGTTTCTAATTTAATTTTAATTTTTTTTAAATAAAGTATATTTTTAAATAAATAAATTTAAATTTCAAGATGTTTTATTGAAACTAATCGGATGTTATAGTAAGGAAACTAAAATACAATTTTAGATTTTTTTGCAAAAAGTTGTATTTTTCCAATTGGACTACTTAAGAAGATTAAAAAAACGAATTTTGAAGAAAAACTATGAATGATATATATGATGGGAAACTTATTCCCAGGTCTCTTTCGAGCTTCATACGTAGAGCAGATTAAATACACTGCTTAGGTTTTTTTTGTATAAATCAATTATAGACATTTTATAGTTTTTAACAATATAATTTATTCCATTAAATATTTGTTTTTTTATTTAGCCAGCTATTAATTTTCTTTTTGAAAAAGAAATTTTAAAATTCCTTCATTTTTAAGGAATGTTCAAATAATTTGCTATTAAAATATCATACCTTTTTGTGTCACTTTACTTCCGGGCCTCTTCAAAGTTCTCAATAAACCACTGTACCGAAGTCTTGATGGCCTCATCAAAGTTTGTAAATGCAAAATTTGGTAATAAAGAACGTAATTTTTGATTTGAAGCAGTTTTCTTATATTGGCCATCGGCCTTGGTGGTATCACACTCTAATTTGCCTTTAAAATCAAAAGCCTTAGCTATAGCCTCAGCCACTTGTAAAATGGTCACTTCTTGAGCTTCATCAACACTCAAGATAATAGGTTCAACACTGTTATAATCACGCAAGACCCAAATCATTAATTTAGCCAAGTCTAAAGAGTAAATAAATTGTCTCAAGGGTTTGCCAGAGCCGTAAACTGTAAAAACTTTCTCCGTTTCCTTCAAGTCTTTGTTGTCGTTGATAAGTCGATACATGCGATATATCATGCCGGGTATAACATGACTTACTTCGGGTTTATAGTTATCGTGGGGTCCAAATATATTGCAGGGTATAACGGAGGTAAACATCGTTCCGTATTTATCATGATAAGCATGATTTTGTATGTCTATTAAACGTTTGGCATATGAATAGCCATAGTTGGAAGGATGTGGCGGTCCATTGTGTACCATCGTCTCGTCAATGGGGTAAGAAGTTTTATCGGGGAATATACAAGTACTTAGGCAAGAGACAACTTTAACACAACCATGTTCATGGGCAGTTTGTAAGACATTGTCATTAATTTGCAAATTAATGCGCTAAAATATGGCAATATACAAAAAAACAAAAGATAAGATAAAAATCTACTAATTCCACTTACCAGAAAGTCCAAATTGTTGTTCATATTGTGAAACAAGCCACCCACCATGGCAGCCAAGTGTATAACATGTGTCGGCTGGACTTTGTCGAATAAAGCTTTAGTGGCTTCTAAATTTCTATAAAAATTAAAAGGGAAAAATATATTGATATTATTATAATTTATTTTAAAATCAAAACTCACGTCAAGTCGGCATCTTTGGAACCGGCAAAAAACCATTCTTCATTTTTAGGCTTCTCCTCGTTAATTACTGCCTCCAAAGCTTTTCCCACTAAGCCTGTACCACCGGTAACTAATATTTTTTGCATTTTTAAGAATAAAATAAGCAAAATTTCACTTTTTTTACCAATTAAACTAAATTCGATGTCTGCTAAAAACAAGTTGCAACAAGTTGATGTCAGATTCCTGTGCCGAACTAAATTAACAACGGCGCTCTTATTTTTGGCGCTCAGCTGTTTCCATTTGTAAGGTATTGCCAGATTGATAGTGGAACTGCCAGATATAATCAGAAATAGTGTTACGTTATAAAAACGAATGTATTTTTCAGTTTAAATGTGTTTTATAAAAGTTACATGCGATTTTTTCTATCAATAAAAAGGTTTTTAAAGGATAACAAAATAAGCTCCTTTTGCAATTTAAATGTGTTTTTAATAACTTATAAGCGATTAGGTTTTTGGTAAAAAAAAGTCGAGTTTTTAAGGAAAATATGGGTGATCACAAAATATGTTCCTTTTTCGATTAAAAATATTTTTAAAATAATAAAATTTGGACCAAAAACTGAATTTCTGAAGGAAACTATGATTACAAAATAAGCCCCTTTTTCAATTTAACCTTTTTTTATAACAAGGTTACAGATTGATTCGTATTACTTGAATCTAAAGTGTTTCTCTATAACTAGAACTAACTATCTGGAATAGTAATCAGATGTAATATTTAATTAAAAAATATTATTAATATTACCTGATTCATAGTTTTTAAAATAATTCCTAAAATTTAAATAACTTATGAAAATTAAAACGACTATCTATGTTTAAATTTAAAATGTAAATTATGTGATTTTGCAAATAATATCCTTATAAAATCCATATAGAATCCACTTAACATTGCATTAAACTGAAATTGAAGCTTAATTTAACAAATATTTGTCTGTATTTTTTTTTTTTTTAATAAAATTCCTTAACTTTGTCTCCTTACAGTCTGAAATTGATCATATAAAAATCTTTTTTGTTTTGTGATTTTGTTACTTTAACAATTCTTTTATTAAAATTCAATGTGTATGAATTACTGACATGCCGATTCTCATGTGTGTGTATGAGTATGCATTTCTATATCTCATGGATACGTTTTCATATAGAAATACTTGTATGAATGTTTGAGATTACTTCTGCATCCCGGCAGTTCGGTGTTTCTAAACCAAACCAGTGATTATACATTGAATTTGAACAACGGACCTAATCGGGTACTATTGTACTTCTTTCAGTACTTTTTGACATAAAAAATACCTGAGTAAACCCACTATATACATACATATGTATATAGTTTATAGTTAATTGACTAGTCCATAAAATAAATAATAGAATAGTCAATAGTCCATTAACTAGTTCATAGAATAGTTAATTGACTAGTTTATAGAATAGTCAATAAACTAGTCCATAGAGTAGTGAATACAGTAGTCAATTGACTAGTCCATTGAATAGTCAATAGACTAGTCCATTGAATAGTCAATAGACTAGTCCATAGAAGAGTCAATAGACTCGTGCAAAAGACTAATACATAACATAGTCAATATAATAGTCAACAAACTAGTCCATAAAATAGTCAATATACTAGTTCAAAGAATAGTCAATAGACTAATCCATATTATAGTAAATAGTTCAAAGAAGAGTCAATAGATCTGTCCATATAATAGGTAATAGACTATTCTATATAATAGTCATTAGACTAGTCCATAGAATAGTCAATAGACTAGAGCATAGAATAGTTTAGTCCATCGAATAGTGAATACAATATTTAGTAAACTATGTAGTCTATAGTTCAAAGAATAGTTAAAAGATTAGTTTATAAAATAGTCAACAAACTAGTCCATAAAATAGTCAATTGACTAGTCCATAGAATAGTGAGGACTAGTTTATAGAATAATTAACAAACCAGTCCATAGAATAGTCAATAGACTAGGTTCTAGTGTAGTCAATATAATAGTCAATAGTTCATAAACTTAGTTAATAAACTAATTTATAGAATAGTCAACAAACCAGTCCATAGACTAGTCCAAAAAAGAATACATAAACAACTTATAAAACAGCGGGTGTATTCACATACGTATGTAAGTAGTATATCCTTATTTGTATATCATAATATATTGTACAGTATCTAGTATGTATTGTTACGTGATGTTATCCTTAACATTAGTGTTTTGTCTAATGTTATTATTTTGCTTAGATTTTGTAAATGTATGCGTATGCTCGTTCGTCCATCTATTTGTCAAAGTGTTTGCGCATTTGTATGTGAATGAATGTGTATCCTATCAACATCCTTTTATTGTTGCTGTATATTTTCAAATACCTTTCGTTTGTCACTACTCACTTACAGTCACTTGTAGTATAACATACATCCATCTATTTACTTTTCTTCTACTATTTTCTATGGTATTTTGTCTATAAACATAGGAAACTCAACAGGTTCAGGCTCAGTTTGTTGTAAGCGCTAAACGTGAACGGTTCAAAAAATTGGAAATAAAAACAATAAATAACATACAAATTATACTTTAAATTTTGTATTGAAAACTTTGAAAAATATAAACTTAAAGTGTCAAGTTCAAGTGTAAATGAAAAATAAAATTTAAAAAACATTCAATGAATAATAATGAATGAATTACCTAAAAATACTTAAAATATTTCCAAAAAATGTTTTAACTCAAACAATACAAACGCTGATCTGTTATCAAATTAAAGATTTTATCGTTAACAATTAATCTTAAAAAAATATATATAAAATTTCACATAAAATTAAAGGGAACGAAATTGAAAAAAAAAAACTACCCACAAATTTAAAGTACTTTAAAAAATAAAGTGTAAAAATTGGAAAAAAGGAGTGCTTAAATAAGTACACATTCTAGAGTTGGTAATGACCGCTGTTGGATTTAAAAGTAATTAAAATAAAAACATTTCTAATCAGTTGAAAACAGAAAAAAATTCCATAATTGTTTCTGGGAAATAAATGAAACATTTTAAATTTAACAAAGTAAAAAACAAAATTGAAAGTATGTATTTGGAAAATTATAAAAAATATGGTCAATACACTTTATAAAATGGCTATAAGTGATTCAATTTTAAATTTATTTTTGTTATAATATGATTATAAATAATTTGTTTAAATGTTATTTTTTAAAAAAAATAAAACCCAAATTCTGTTCATAAATTTTCGGTAATTTTTAAGTAGAATTTTCAAAAATAGAACTGGACTAGAACTGAACTAGAACTGAACTAGAACTGAACTAGAACTGAACTAGAACTGAACTAGAACTGAACTAGAACTGAACTAGAACTGAACTAGAACTGAACTAGAACTGAACTAGAACTGAACTAGAACTGAACTAGAACTGAACTAGAACTGAACTAGAACTGAACTAGAACTGAACTAGAACTGAACTAGAACTGAACTAGAACTGAACTAGAACTGAACTAGAACTGAACTAGAACTGAACTAGAACTGAACTAGAACTGAACTAGAACTGAACTAGAACTGAACTAGAACTGAACTAGAACTGAACTAGAACTGAACTAGAACTGAACTAGAACTGAACTAGAACTGAACTAGAACTGAACTAGAACTGAACTAGAACTGAACTAGAACTGAACTAGAACTGAACTAGAACTGAACTAGAACTGAACTAGAACTGAACTAGAACTGAACTAGAACTGAACTAGAACTGAACTAGAACTGAACTAGAACTGAACTAGAACTGAACTAGAACTGAACTAGAACTGAACTAGAACTGAACTAGAACTGAACTAGAACTGAACTAGAACTGAACTAAACTGAACTAGAACTGAACTAGAACTGAACTAGAACTGAACTAGAACTGAACTAGAACTGAACTAGAACTGAACTAGAACTGAACTAGAACTGAACTAGAACTGAACTAGAACTGAACTAGAACTGAACTAGAACTGAACTAGAACTGAACTAGAACTGAACTAGAACTGAACTAGAACTGAACTAGAACTGAACTAGAACTGAACTAGAACTGAACTAGAACTGAACTAGAACTGAACTAGAACTGAACTAGAACTGAACTAGAACTGAACTAGAACTGAACTAGAACTGAACTAGAACTGAACTAGAACTGAACTAGAACTGAACTAGACTGAACTAGAAGAACTAGAACTGAACTAGAACTGAACTAGAACTGAACTAGAACTGAACTAGAACTGAACTAGAACTGAACTAGAACTGAACTAGAACTGAACTAGAACTGAACTAGAACTGAACTAGAACTGAACTAGAACTGAACTAGAACTGAACTAGAACTGAACTAGAACTGAACTAGAACTGAACTAGAACTGAACTAGAACTGAACTAGAACTGAACTAGAACTGAACTAGAACTGAACTAGAACTGAACTAGAACTGAACTAGAACTGAACTAGAACTGAACTAGAACTGAACTAGAACTGAACTAGAACTGAACTAGAACTGAACTAGAACTGAACTAGAACTGAACTAGAACTGAACTAGAACTGAACTAGAACTGAACTAGAACTGAACTAGAACTGAACTAGAACTGAACTAGAACTGAACTAGAACTGAACTAGAACTGAACTAGAACTGAACTAGAACTGAACTAGAACTGAACTAGAACTGAACTAGAACTGAACTAGAACTGAACTAGAACTGAACTAGAACTGAACTAGAACTGAACTAGAACTGAACTAGAACTGAACTAGAACTGAACTAGAACTGAACTAGAACTGAACTAGAACTGAACTAGAACTGAACTAGAACTGAACTAGAACTGAACTAGAACTGAACTAGAACTGAACTAGAACTGAACTAGAACTGAACTAGAACTGAACTAGAACTGAACTAGAACTGAACTAGAACTGAACTAGAACTGAACTAGAACTGAACTAGAACTGAACTAGAACTAGAACTGAACTAGAACTGAACTAGAACTAGAACTAGAACTAGAACTGAACTAGAACTAGAACTAGAACTGAACTAGAACTGAACTAGAATGAACTAGAACTGAACTAGAACTGAACTAGAACTGAACTAGAACTGAACTAGAACTGAACTAGAACTGAACTAGAACTGAACTAGAACTGAACTAGAACTGAACTAGAACTGAACTAGAACTGAACTAGAACTGAACTAGAACTGAACTAGAACTGAACTAGAACTGAACTAGAA